AAATAAAAAGCCTAAATTTATTCCTCAATTTATTAGGTAAATAAATTACCATGAAAAAAATTATTTATTTTTCTTTAAAAATAAAATTAACTTATTATTTATTAATAATTAAAGACTTCAAAAGGTCAATGGTTACGATATTGTGACCGGCACAAGATATGCTGATGGAGGTGGCGTTTATGGATGGGATCTTAGACGAAAGATAATAAGGTAAAAAGGGAAGATTTTTTAATAAAACTTTCCCAATCAATCAATAAATCAATTAATAAAAAACTACTTACTTTCTTTGATCAAATAATAGTCGAGGTGCAAATTATCTTGCTTCTACATTATTGCGACCTGGTGTTTCAGATCTTACAGGCAGCTTTAGGTTATACAAAAAAGAAGTATTGGAACAAATAATTTCTTCGGTTGTCTCGAAAGGTTACGTATTCCAAATGGAAATGATGGTAAGGGCTAGACATTTGGGTTATACAATAGGAGAAATTCCAATTACGTTTGTTGATAGAGTTTATGGTGAAAGCAAAATGGGCGCAAATGAGATTGTACAATATGCTAAAGGTGTTTGGCAATTGGTAAGTAATTCTATAAAAAAGGATAATGATGATGATGAAATTGGTGATGTGAAATTTATTGTTATTGAATTTTATATTTTAGAATAACATTTTCTTTTTTTTAAAAAAAATAATGATAATAGTTCATTGCGATCTGATGAGAAATGAATCAATGCTATTTAATATAATTTGATTTTATTTAAAACCTTTTGTAATTTGTTATCATATCACTTCTATATTTATGTATCAAATTATAGAAAAATCATCTTCAGTCTAACTAATATATAAAAGAAAGAATTTAATCTTTTTTTCTTGGCAATTTTATATTCAAAAAAATAAGCGAGAATTAAATTATAAAATTTTTTAATTTCTATTATAATTTTCTAGGATTTAAAAAAAAATCAATGATAAAATAAATACAAAAAAATTATTTAATTATTATTATCATTTAAAATAAAATGTTTAATAAATATAATACATTATAATTAAAAATTATTGTCATTAAAGCAAAATAATGGTTATTTTAATGTTTTTTTACTTCCTCAATACTATCAATGTTAATGTTGTTGTTGCTGATATTATTATTACTATTATTAATGTTGTTGTTATTATTGTTCTTATTAAAATTGGAAAAAGAAGATAATGATAATGGTAATGAAGGTGATGGTAAAGAAGAGGATAAAGACATCATTGAAATATCAATATCATCTAAAAATTAAATTCAAGTATTAGTTGTAAAATCGTAAATGAATAAATAAAAGGTTTATAGAGAATAATAGTCACTGTTAATAATTCCAAAGGCTTCTAGCCTAAGTTGTTCTATATCCACCCATTGAAAAAATTTACAAGCTTTTTTTGGTTCATTAAAATAAAATTCGCAAGAAAAATATTCTCGTTGATTTTTTACACTATATCTTCTATTTGCTTTATTACCACAATAGCAACGAACATATTCATCGAGATTTTCTGAAATTTTAATATGTTTTGTTTTAATACTTTCCATATTATTAGTGGGAAATTTTATCCAATACTAATGACATTAGTAATAATATTAAATATGAAAATTTTATTGTGAATTTGTTGGAAGAAGATAATCAGTTAGCTTTTTCACATGTCACACGAAATTCTGATAAAAAATTAAATAATAAATAAAATTTTACATAAATAAATAATTTCTAGTGGATCAATTTTATTTTGATCCCTCTACAGATTTTCTATTGATTTTTCTATACTATTTATTAACTCTATGGCTCTTCTTTTAATTTCTTCATTATGACCCTGTAAAGCAGCGGATTGAAGATATTGCCTAGCCAAATTTATATTCTGTTCATAACCATGAGTTCCTTTAAGATAGAAATTACCTAAATTAAGTAATGCAATAGAATTTTCATTTTTAGCAGCAAGCTGTAAATATCTCTTAAATTCTTCAAGATACAATGTTTTATCCTTTTTATAAATTAGAAATGCGTATTGTGTTTGTGCATCTGCTATACCATTATCAGCTGCAATCTTATATAGTCTGGTTGCTTCTTCAATGTTTTCTTGTGTTGCCTCTCCTGATTCATTTGCTTTGCCTGCTTCTAAGAAATACGCTTTCCAATAAATTGCCTCATAATCATTAAGGTCAGCATTATCACAAAAACATTTCCATGCTTTCTTAAAATTGTTTTCTTCTTTATAGGCTCTTTTACCCTCTTCCATTTGAATCAATGGCTCAAAAACTTTTCTTTTGAATTCTACCTTCTCAAAATCTGTTGGCTTCTCAATACTATGACTATGAAGTTTATCATCTGAAATTTCATTTTTTGGAAGAAATTTAGCCAGATAATTGCAACTTCCATGTTTTTTCCATAATCCTGTTAGTACATCCATAACTTCACCAAAAGTATGTCGTTCATATGGTACAGTTTCCCAAGCTAACATTTAAAGAATAAACCAACGTTTAGCAATGCTAATATTGTAGCAGTAATAATAACAATAATTGTTATTATTATTATATATCATTTAATAATACCTTTTATAATAATTTCAATTAAACCTGATTGTATTTCTTTATTGTATTTTCCAATTTTTATTATTTCTCTTTGACCACTTAAAACATAATCTTTAATCTTCTCTGATTTTTTCCCTTTATATGGAACTTGTTGGTAGGTAAGTTCCCAAAGAAGCATTCCAAAACTAATAATAATAATATTTATTAATGCTGTTTATATATATAGGTTGTTGATGAAAAAAAATTTACCTAAACATTTCACAATAAAAATC